AAATCCATATATGAGTGAGTACATACCATGTTTGTCTTTTTGCGACTGGGTTACCTCACTCAGGATGGTTTCTTCCAGTGCTATCCATTTCCCTGCGAATTTCAAGATTCCATTGTTTTTTTCTGCTGAGTAATACTCCATTGTGTAAATGTACCACATTTTCTCTATCCACTCTTCAGTTGAGGGGCATCTAGGTTGCTTCCAGGTTCTGGCTATTACAAATAATGCTGCTATGAACATAGTGGAGCAGATGCCCTTGTTGTATGAACTTGACTCATTTGGATATATGCCTAAGAGTGGAATTGCTGGGTCTAGTGGTATATTAATTCCCATTTTCCTGAGGAATCTCCATACTGATTTCCAAAGAGGCTGTATGAGTCGGCACTCCCACCAGCAGTGGAGGAGTGTTCCTCTCTCTCCACATCCTCTCCAGCATAAATTGTCTTGGTGTTTTTGATTTTAGCCATTCTGACAGGAGTAAGATGGTATCTCAGAGTTGTTTTGATTTGCATTTCCCTGATGGCTAAGGATGTTGAGCACTTTCTTAAGTGTCTCTTGGCCATTTTAGCCTCCTCTACTGAGAATTCTCTATTTAGCTCTGTACCCCACCTTTCAAGTGGATCCTTTGGTGTTTTGGAGACTTGTTTCTTGAGTTCTTTGTAAATTTTGGAGATTAGCCCTCTGTCAGATGTAGGGTTAGTGAATATCTTTTCCCATTCTGTGGCCTGCCTTTTTGTCTTTTTGACTGTGTCCTTTGCCTTACAGAAGCTTTTTAGTTTCAGAAGGTCCCATTTGTTAATTGTCGATCTCAGTGCCTGTGCCACTGGTGTTATGTTTAGGAAGTGGTCTCCTGTACCAACTCGTTGAAGAGTATCTCCCACTTTCTCTTCTAAAAGTTTCAGTGTGGCTGGATTTATGTTGAGACCTTTGATCCATTTGGACTTAAGTTTTGTACAAGGCGATAAACATGGATCTATCTCCAGTCTTCTGCATACCAGTACCCAGTTATGCCAGCACCATTTGTTGAAGATGCTTTCTTTTTTCCATTGTACAGTTTTAGCTTCTTTGTCAAAAATCAAGTGTTCATAGGTGTGTGGGTTAAAATTAGAGCTTTCGATTCGGTTCCATTGGTCTACCTGCCTATTTTTGTGCCAATGTCTTATTGTTGTAGCTAGAACTTCAAGTACAATATTGAAGAGATATGGAGAGAGTGGACAGCCTTGTCTTCTTCCTGATTTTAGAGGAATTGCTTTGAGTTTCTCTCCATTTAGTTTGATGTTAGCTGTTGGTTTACTGTATATTGCTTTTATTATATTCAGGTACGTTCCTGTTATTCCTGATCTCTCTAGGACCTTTATCATGAAGGGGTGCTGGATTTTGTCAACGGCTTTTTCAGCATCTAGTGAGATGATCATGTGGTTTTTCTTTCGCAAATTGTTAATATGGTGGATTACATTGATAGATTTTCTAATGTTGAACCATCCCTGCATTCCTGGGATGAAGCCTACTTGATCATGGTGGATGATTTTTCTGATGTCTTCTTGAATCCGGTTTGCGAGTATTTTATTGAGTATTTTTGCATCAATGTTCATGAGGGAAATTGGTCTATAGTTCTCTTTCTTAGTTGTGTCTTTGTGTGGCTTGGGTTTTCTTCTATGGCTTTGATAAAAATATTTTTCTGGGCCTTTGGGCTGATTCCGTTATTCTTAGATTTGGTCTTTTCATGAAGTCACAGATTTCCTGGATGTTTTGTGCCAGAAGTTTTTAGATTCAGCATATTTTTTGACCAGTGCATCCATTTCTTCTATTGTATCTTTGATGCCTGAGATTTTTTAATTCCATCTCTTGTATTCTGTTGGCGAATCTCTCCTCTGTAGTTCCTGTTCAAATTCCTAAATCTTTTATTTCCAGAATTGCCTCCATTTGGATTTTCTTTATTGTTTCTACTTCCATTTTCAGGTCCTGAACAGTATTATTCATTTCTTCCACTGTTCCCTTGTGTTTTCCTGTATTTCTTTCAGGGGTTTATTCATTTCCTCTTTAAGGACCTGCATCCTCTTCATACAGACTATTTTAAGGTTTTTTCTTGCTTTTCAGCTTTGTTGAAATTTTCAGGCCTGCTGCGGTAGAATAGCTGGGCTCTAGTGGAGACATGTAGCCTGGGATGTTACTGTGTCCTGTGCTCATGTCTGGGCAGCTGGGATTCAGGTGAACATAGCTCTAGTGCTGATTTCTGGGTTAGTTGTTGTTCGGGGGATGGTTTGTTCCTGGGTTTCTGTTTCCTCTCTGGATTTTCAGAGTGCTATGGCTGTGTGTCGCCTGTATGAAGTTTTCTGTGGCCCTGTTTCCCTGGCCTGCTCAGCTGGTGCTCTCCCAGGGAATGCCTGCTGCTGGTTTTGGAAACTAGGATAACAGCATGAGTCGGAGGAAGGAAGGTTGGAGAACTTTGTGATCCACTGGGGATGGGATCAGGAGGAAAGGGAGACCACAGCGGGTGTTCAGCTATGAAGCTAGGGATGAGACTGGAGGGTTGGGTCTGGAGGACAGCCGAGAGGTGAGGATCTGCAGACAGCCCCCTGCTTCCCTGGCAAGAGTGGCCTTTGGGTTAGTGTAAACATGTTTCCTGTCCTGACTGTCCAGTCTCAAATAACCACTCTGAAGCTTATGTTAGATGTAAACACTCAGCCAATAGCTCAGGCTTGCTACTAGCTAACTGTTACACTTTAATTAACCCATACTATTTATGCTTTGCCACATGGTTCATGGCTTGTTACCTCACTTTTCACGTGTCCTGCTTGCTCAGTTGCTGGCTGGCATCTCTGACTCTGCCCTTCTCCTTCCTATCACCCTTAGTTTTGTCACCCCACCTATACTTCCTGCTTGGCTACTGGCCAGTCAGCATTTTATCATACCAATTTGAGTGACAAAGCTTTACAGTGTACAGGAGGATTATTCCTCAGCAGGCTAGCAGGGTGTGGTTGCTGGGGATGGAGGCTGGGATAAGGCCTGAAGTTTAAGACTTATTTTGTATTATGTTGTAGCTTTGTATGCGTGGCTGTGCATGTGTTAGTGCAGTGCTTTCAGAGTGCAGAAGAGAGCATCACATCCCCTGGAGCTGGAGTTAAGGGCAATTGTGAGCCACTCAGTGAGGGTGCTCTGCAAGAACAGGACACCCTTAAGTACTGAGCCATCGCCCAGACCCTCTTCAAAGACTGTTAATGGATCTAAGCCCAAAGGATAAACAACATAAGTATCCTGCCCCTCACTTCCCGTGCTCACAGGTGACTCTGCCCACATAAGTGTCCTGCCCCTCACTTCCCATGCTCACAGGTGACTCTGCCCACATAAGTGTCCTGCCCCTCACTTCCCATGCTCACAGGTGACTCTGCCCACATAAGTGTCCTGCCCCTCACTATCTGTGCTCACAGGTGACTCTACCCTGCAAGGCACAGTCTGCTTAGTGCTTAGCTCTCGACACGACTTAAAATGAATCCCAACCTCAGGCAGGACTGGAGTTGCTCTGTTGTTTACTATGATGATGGCCCAAGCATTTGTCCTCTGACATGTGGCACTGTGGGCAGGGAAGTCACCCTGACCCTAGACTTTGGGACTAACCACTTAACAGCTCTGCCTTGGAGAATGAAGGCAAAAGTTGGTGTTCCAGATTATATGCCTCAAGAAACCTTGTGTGTTCTAGACAGTTCTATGCAGCCTGTGCTGTCACCTACAGAATGCCACCAGGCTACCTGTTCTACCTTCCAGAAGAATGGGAGATGGGTGGTAACTGAGCCAGCTGAGCCCAGCCTTGACAAGAGGCCCTACAGCCCACCTGCCAGCACAGTAACAAAGCATTTGCTTGTAGCTGAGTCCATTTGTGACACAAGCGATGCATGCTTGCTGTCATAGCAGTGCATCATTGGCCCTGTTTTGTTATTTATTGTATGCATGTGTATGCATGTGCACACATGCCATGGCATGTGTAGGTTAGAGGACAACTTTCATGGACTGGTTCTCACCTTTCATCATGTGGCTTCTGTTATTCTTGGCAAACACCGTTAGCCACTGAACCATCGCTAGGCTCTGTCGTCTCTGTTGCTAGGTGGGTTGTCCTTCACCATTATTGTGAGAATCGGTCATTGGCCCATTTGCCTTCTCATGATTAATAAAACAGATTCCTAAAGGGGATCTGTGGGGATCAAGGCCTCCAGTGTCTTATTGAAAAGATTGCAGAATTGTTAAGTAGGGAGCCGGCTTCCTGGTTTTCAGTTTTCTATTAAGTCTGTGGTCTGGGTGACTGCTTATTTCCTGTACTATTTTTCAAATGCTGACGTCTTCTCTCTTCCCACGTGTGTGTGCATGTGTGTGCATGTGCATGTGTGTGTTGCATGTGCATGTGTGTGTGCATGCGTGTTTTGTTAGTTTCCCGCATGTGTGCAGCATACTGTGACCATACTCATCTCATCACACTCTTTAATGCCCTGCACTCCTGCTAATCCCTGCTTCCCAAGACTTCTCTCTTCCATGTGTGCATGCATGTGCATGTGTGCATGCATGTGTGCGTGCACATACATGTGTGTTAATGTGTGTGTATGTGCATATGTGTGCATGCATGTTTGTGCATGTGTGTGCATATGTGCACATGAATGTGTGTGTGCACTTGAGGACATGTGCAGGGGGAGGGATAACACATGCACACACAGCTTATACAGCTAGCCACAGATGCTGTGTGTTCATGATCACAGGGACCATATCAGGCCAGGAGACAATGTTTTCCCTCTGGTTCCTTCCTTCCTTCCTTCTTTCCCTCCTTCCTTCTTTCCTTCCTTCCTTCCTTCCTCCCTCCTTCCTTCCTCTCTCTCTCCCTCTCCCTCTCCCTTCCTCTGGTTTCTTCCTTCTTTCTTCCCTCCATCCCTCCCTCCCTCCCTCCTTCCTTCCTCTATCTCTCTGTCCCTCTCCCTTCCTTCCTTCTGTCTTTCTTTCTTCCTTCCCTTCATTTATTTTAGGGGAGAGCACAATGCAGTTCCCCACTACCTCAAATTGTGTAGTCAGATTTCCTGCATTTGTGGAAATCTCAGGGGTCAGCACATCCAGAGTGCAATGGATAAGTCTTACCCTGGGAAAACCACCTTCATGATCACAGTGTTGCCCCTGCCAGGTAAGTGTGTGGGCTCTCACAGTCCTTCTGCCCCTTCTGCGATGCTCTCTTTGTTTGTTTGTTTGTTTTTTGGTTTTTACGAGACAGGGTTTCTCTGTGTTGTTTCGGAGGCTATCGGTCCAGCCCAGCCTCGAACTCACAGAGATCCGCCTGCCTCTGCCTCCCAAGTGCTGGGATTAAAGGCGTGCGCCACCACTGCCCGGCTGCGATGCTCTCTTTGTAAAGGGGATTATTGGTGCCTTGTTCAGGTCAGAACACTCCATGGACACTTCTCAGCATGCTGACCAGTTATGAGTTTCTGCATCAACTGTCACGCTCTGAAAAAGCTTTCTGGGGGGCAGTGAAATGGCTCAGCAGTTGCTGTTTTCAGAGAGAACCACAGTTCGGTTCCCAGCACCTAGGTCAGGTAGCCTGTAACTCTAGCTCCAGAGATCTGATGCCCTCTTCTGGCCTAAATGGAAACTACATATACATACACAAAAAACAAACTTTTTAAAAAGTTTCTCTGATCAAAAAATGAAATACACACTGAGAAGCAGTTTGATTCCATGTCTGTCAAGCAAAAGCAATCTTTTCAAAGATGTCTTTGAGAAGTCAATGCAATCTTTGTGATTATAAATTATTATTTGGTATATATTCCTGCCCACTTTAAACAAGAGTTTCTTCAAAAACGGCTAACCTAGGATGACTGGGTGTGGTTTGTCTTTGTTTTTAGTAGATCTGCTTCTGTGGGTAAATGAATCTGAGAGATTAGACTCATGTCTGCCCTTGGCTTCTCTTCACCTCTGTCTATATATACAGTATTCTAGAGTTCCCCATAGAGAACTCTAGTTTTCCCTATGCAACGAAGAAGCTTTTCTCCCCAAATAGTGGTTTTGTTTGGGGCACTTGTCTTTATTCTAAATTTGGTCAGCTGGCCCGACTTCCCGGGCATCAGCAGTACCCCTGAGGTCCTGTGGGAGGCTTAGCCAGCCTCTCTAGCTCACTGGGCAATCACATCCCTTTGTAATGAGCACTTACATGTTTTGGCCCACAATCCCCCAATTTCACCCTTGAGTCCCCCTACTCCTCTCTGGTGAATGTCATCTGCTCCTGGTGATTTATCTACATTTAGTTTGTCAATTAAGTAGAAAATCACTCACACATCTACTGCCCTGTTGGTCTCAGAACAGTCTGGAAGAGGGACCACTATAGCATCACATATGAATACAGAACCTGAGCTTCTTGAAGAAACCTCGGTCTCTATATCAGATTCACTGATTTAAGCAACAATGATAGAGCACCATATTCTGTTGTGGAATAAACTTTTTGTATGCTGTGAGGATGCTTCACTCTGATTGGTTTAATAAAAAGTTGAATGTCCAATAGCAAGGCAGAGAGATAGAGAACAAGAAAGACAGCAGGAAGAGAGATAATAGCCACAAGCCACATGGCAGCACATGGACTAATAGAAATGGGCTAATTTAGGTTATGAGCTAGGAGGAACAAGCCTAAGCTATAGGCCAAGCTTTCATAATTAATAAGAAGTCTCCACATCATTACTGGGGAGCTGATGGTCCCGTTGAACAATTTGCCTACAATATTCTTAAGAAGGAAGGATTAGGTGGGGAGACAGGAAGGAAAGATGGGAGTGACTGAGGGCAATATGGAGAGTGTAAGGAAGGGAACTGGGGTGAGCGGTGTCTAGGAGAAATGGTGAATGGGAGAGAGGGAAAGTAGGAAGACTACGGCCCTGGTTAGAGTGAAGGGTGAGGAAGAGATGCAAACAGCTGCCCGGAGTCTCAGATGCTCTTTGTTCTTTCTGTGTTGATCTTCCTGGCACTCGTCTTGGAGAGCAGGTACCGGTGACACTGTGTGGGCTTGCTCTGCCCTGAAATCACTATTACCCCAAGACAGACATCTGTGGACCAATCAGATGCTTCTCTCTAAGCCCGTGGTTCTCAGCCTTCCTGATGCTGTGACCCTTTAACACATGTTGTGGTGACCCCAAACCATAAAAGTACTTCTTGCTACTTCATAGCTGTGATTTTGCTACTGCTGTGAATCATAGTAAGAATATCAGATATGCAGGACAGCTGATATGTGGCCCCCGTGGGAGTCGCAACCCACAGTTGAGAACCACTGCTCTAGAGTCTGCCTCTCAGAAGGGCGGCAGAAACCACTGGTCCCCTGTGAAAGGAGATCTAGATTGAGCCCGTGGTCTGCAGCAGGGGAGTGGGAAGGAAGGGGCGTGGGGGAAGTGCCGCATAGGGAGAGGCTAGGAATTGAACAGAAGTCTCCCAGGGCTGGAGAGGCGGCTCTGCGGTAAAGCGCTGCCCCTGCAGCCACCAAGCCTGAGGACCTGACTTTAATCCCCAGGACCTGTGTGGTGGTCGCAGAGCACTGACTTCAGAAGTTGTCTTCTGATGTCCACATGTGTGCCATGGCTCACACATGCAAGCCCACACACACACACACACACATGCACGCACACACACACATGCACGCACACATATGCACACACATGCACACACACATGCACACACACACGCACGCACACACACACACACACGCACACACACATGCACAAACACATAAAAGTAAGAAAATGGATTTGTTCTTAAAAATCATCTGTGATGACCCATGCCTGGGATTTTAGTGCTGGGGAGGTGGACACAGGAGGGGATCCCTGGGCCTATGCGAAGGTCTGTTGCTGTTTAAGATATTTGCTGCATACAACCCCACAAGGGAAGGAAATTCATCCCAACCCCACGGACAGGCTTGTTCTGTGTCTTTGGGGGTCCCTGCCTAAGGCATGGTATAAATCCCTGCTCTGTTGAAATTCTGGCTCTCTACATACTTGATTTCAGACACAAATGTGATCCAGAAAAACCCCAGTGCTTCCAGGCAAGTTCCCTGAGCCAGCTCTCCTTGCAGAGACGATGACTCGGATAGCATTGGCTCCCTCCATCAACCTGGCTCATACGATGAAGGCGGTTTAGAGCAGAGAGGCTCGAGTGGGTAGTTGGAAGGTCCAGCAAGCAGGACATAATATGTGTTTACAACCAGAACTGCCCCACTGAACATAGGGCATTGTGGGGAAATGTAAGTGTAAGCCATGCACATTTCGGGACTGTTTGTTACAGCAACATTTATAACTCATGCCTGACTGATACATTGGGGGGGGGTGTTCCTGGAGTGAGACAAATCAGGAAAGGTCAAGGGCAAGAAGTCAGCTGTGCAGATGGCCTTGAGTGGAATAGGATAACTCACAGAAGGATGTGAACAGCTAAGAGATGGGCTGGAAATTACAGTGAGAGTAGACAGACCTTGCTTGTGGACCCCGTGGACTCTGAAGCCAAATCCCCTTTGCTTTAGTTTTCTCCTTTATAAGAGCAGTTGATAAAGCAGCGCCTGGTTACAGGGTTGTTAGGGCTGAATGAACCACCCAGACGCATTACCCACTTATGCTCAGCACAGCTCCCTGGCCGCAGGGACCCTCAGGATGCAGTGGTCTCCTCCATTCTTTCTAACACTCCCATCCCGCAGAGACAATCCTGAGCTCTTCAGGGGCTCAGCACTCACGGGAGAGCCTCACCACTGACTGCAGCCAGCCAGGGAGAAGGCAGGGTCTGAGAGCCATGGGCATGAGTGGCCGGTGACAGGCGTTTAATTCACATGTAAGCCAAAACAGTTGTTAGTAAATTAAACATTGATTGTAAATGAGCCTCCAGTTAAGATTCACTAATTACACCACCAACTCGATTGTCATGCAATTTATATACAATTACCCCAGAACAAATATTTAATTACTTTCCCCATAATACGTTGAACTAATATTGTTCATCAAGCTGGTAGATGGGAATGTGGAAACATTTAATTGATGCAAAGATGGGAAAACAGAGAATTAATAAGACAATGGCCACATTGTCTTGTCTGCTGGTGTGACATGGCTTTAATGGTCATGAGGAGGGGATCAGGAGAGGGAAGCCCTTCTTGGCTGTGATGGTGGAGGTCGTGGTGGCTGGAAGAGACCCGTAGGTGGAGGATTTCCCTGAAGGGCATGGTCTAGAATCCTCCTGGAGACGGCTGAGGCTGTGCCATTGCATGGGCCTGCATCATGGCTCAACTTCTCCAAACACACATCCTTCTCCAAACACTGCTCTGGATAATTCTACAACTGGAAAAGTGACAGGATCTGACTCCCACATTAGCAGAGGCTGAAGGGAGGTGAGAGGTGAGGGCTAACCTTGGCTAATGGGGAAGAAAAGAACACAGTGAGGGCCCCACAGGAGGAAGCCTCGAGACTCCGGGAAAAGAGCAAGCAGGAAGGGCTGGGGTTGGGGGGGGGCTGCCCTGACTGCAGGCAGCTGGTCCTGCTTTGCCAGTTGCCTGGGACGGCTCTAGGTTCCGTCTTTTGGGAGAAGCCATGTCCTTCAGCACCCAGGAAACAGCTCTGTAAGATGAAAATCTGGAAAAGACTGGGAAGTCCAACTTGTCATTTGAGAGAACAATTCTGGGGTGACGGCTACTGTAGATGATAGAGAGGGGACTCGGAGATAAGAGTCCTGCTCCTCCAGAGGACTGGACTGGGTTTGGTTCCCAGCACCCACATCAGCCAGCACACAGCCTGTAACCAAAGAATCTGGAGCCTCCTCTGGCTTCCAGCACTTGTGTGAATGTGAACTCCCCTCCACTCACAGACACACACACACATGCACGTGCACACCTACCACTCACAGACACACACACATGTGCACACCCTACCACTCACACACTCACACATGCACACCCTACCACACACAGACACACATGTGCACACCCTACCACACACAGACACACATGTGCACACCCTACCACTCACAGACACACTCACACACACATGCACACCCTACCACTCACAGACACACTCAAACACACACATGCACACCCTACTACTCACAGACAGACACACACATGCACACCCCACCACTCAGACACACTCACACATGCACACCCCACCACTCAGACACACTTGCATACACATAAT